AAATGCAAAGTGTATTCAATACTTTGTTAAAATAATAGAAAATATTAATGCATTAAAATTTTAATTAACTATTAGTCGAATATATATTAATGAAATGAAACAATTATTTTTTCAATCCAAAGTTTCCTTTTTGCAAGCAAATTGAAACGAAAACTTTGTGCTCAACCAACTAAAGGTATTAACATTTCATTAATGAATTAAAATGAGCTATGCGCGACTCTATCTAACGCTAAGTTATTTTCCATATTAAATATTTGACGTCTAATAAAGCTTTGTCATCAACTGCTACCTTTACTCCACGGTTGTTCCGTAGCAGATGCAAAAATCACGTAAAAGAAGTTGGTTATTACGTTTATTCCTGCTGCCAGCCAGAATACTGTGTGCCAACGTGCTAGTGTTTCCTAAAAGTTTGTTCATAAAGTTTATTTTATAAATTATTAATAAGTAAAAATATCAACTTAATTGTTATTATACTAACGTGTCCTTGAACTAATCTTCCAATTATGTATGGTGCTAAGAATCCACAAGCATTTGCTGCAGCATTTGTAAGTCCATAAAGAGTCCCTGCATATCGTGGTGCTAGAGCAATGTGATTCATTTGATTCCCAGCGTATACTGCGCCTTGCAGAGATCCTAAACCAGCGAGCATCATCATTACAGTCATACGGTCACATTCAGCCCAAATAGCACCAATAAAACTGAGACTAGGTCCTAAAGAAGCCACTGTATTCCATAGTCTAAATGATGTTAAAGGAGATAAAAGCTGCTGGGCGAGAAGAGCATCTGCGAAACTTGATATACCAAGCCCGACTATCCAAGAACTTAAATAAGGTAGTGCTGAAAGAAATGCATCCTGTTGTACATCGAAATGCAAAATTTTATCCATATATGTTGGTAATTCAGTTAAAAGAGTATAAAATGCCCATGACTGTCCACATTGTGTTATCGTTATAGCCCAGATAGGTAATGATGTGAATACTGACAACCAAGGAACTCCTGCATCATTTTCCTATTTTTATATAAATTAAATTAGATTATTATTGATAGAAAAATGATCATAAATTTTATAAAGTCACAGTAAAAAATGAACCTCTTTTTTTTCCACACTAGCTTCAATATACATTCTTTCTTGAGGGTCAATTCTTGTATGCTCCGCTGGTGTATCAAAGATGAAAATAAGCCAAAATGCATACCATATAATGCCAAGTCCACCGAACAAATAAAATGCAAATGGCCATCCACCCCAAAGTTCTAGAGAACATAACCATCCACTCACTGGTAATGATATAACAGTTCCAAAGTTTGATCCTATAACAACACAACGAATATTGTAAGTTGAATAATGTGATATAACAAATTTTGAATTCAGAAAGTAATACCTGCATATACGACAGCAGCAAATTTGCTTCTCTCTAAAGGAGGTACCCATTGTGCTAACATACTGTGCATTGCAGGGAATGTTACACCCTATATAGAAAAAAAAAATTAAATAGTATCATTTTAAAATATTTCTTTTCTATGCATAAAAGATTTACCTCTGTAAATCCCTCTGCTACTCGTACAGCTAAAAATGGTACTAATCCTGCATAGGCTGCAAAAGGACTGATTACAGTCAATACTGCAGTCAGAAATATTCCTAATCCATAAATTAATTTTCCTCCAAATTTCTCAGCCATTCTGCCGCCTGGGACGTTTGTAATTACATAGCCAAGAAAGAATGCACCCAATATAATACCTTGAGTTCTTTCATCCCAGTCAAACTCTCCTGCACTCTATCATTTCAAATAAAATTTGAAAAGGCATATTATTTTCATAGACTAAGAATAACCGTTAGAATCTGTTATGGTTTTGCTCAATTAGAAATTTAATAATTATAAAAAAAGTAGCCAGATAAAAGATGTAGGCTTGCAATATGCGTTACATCAATTCGCTTAGGTCATATCAACAATGATAAAACTATATGAGTAACATGTATGATAACAAAGTCACAACTAATACTGACATTTGATCCATATCAATGTTACACTTACAGAATATATATTATAGTTTTGAAGTTTTAGTTTTAGTTTTGAATATTTTCTAAAAAATTACATATCTCAACAACATCTATTATTGGATACAAGAAAATAAAAATAAATAAAAATAAATAAAATAAAATAAAATAAAATGAAAAAGATAAAATTTGTGTAACTCACTGGAATAAATGTTCCATTAATGGGCCTTTTGTTAGGACAAACATCAGTAGTATCATTGTCATCGCTATGTGGCACAGCTGTTTGATTGACCATTGATACAATAGCAACAGATAAATTTACTCTCATGGCATATACCAAAGCAAACCCTAGAAATCCTAAAAAACCCAGTGTATACCTTGCTTTTATGCATGATTTTGTATCTGATGGTACTTCTGGTAAAATAGCTGAAAAGGAAATGATACTATTTATTATGAATCATCCTTTATATAACAATGCTTGTTGCAAATTACCAATTGTGTTACCATAATGTGGCAATTATAATTATTCTCAACATATGTTGATACATACATTCTATAATTAACGATAGACGTGATATAAAATATCGTTGAAACTTTACAAATAATAATAAATGAAAAATATGTTCTATGTTTTCAAATAGATCATGTAGTAAAAACAAAAAACTAAAAATTGTAACAAACTCTTTGTGTACTTGACATTATCACTTTCAACAGTGGGCATGAATTATGTTTTTCTGCCTTATAAACAATCAAACAAATAAGTTCTTAAAATATATAATTATTTTTATTAACCTGGCGTGTACCCCGATAATACATTGTAAGATCTTTTGTTCTTTTTCATGTTTCATATCGCGAATATAATAATATTATCTATAGAAAAAACTTTCTACCCGTATGTTGCAATATACACTAAATACTTCCAACTTAATTATAACATATGCTGTCAAAAACAAAACAATCATGAAAAGTTAAAAAAAGTCGAAGAATTTTCAACAAATTGAATTCAGACGAAGCAACACATCCGGAAACTCTGACAAGTGACAATGCTGTAGACAGCTCACGCATCCTTCTGTCAAACTTTTGTTTCCAAACAATATCTTTAAACAATCTACTAGTAGTGACATCAAAAACGACAAACAAGCAAAAAGACATACTTACGCGTGAAAAAATTACGTGCAAAAATAAATGAAACATTAAAAGGTAAAAGACAGACCTTTTTCTAAAGAATCGTTAATGCATAAAGGCTGGTCATCTCTTGAGACACTAGGATCCAGCACTTCCATGTTGCTTATGCGTTATTTCACAGAAATTGAATGCTTTTACGATATTTCAAATATTGTTTAGACATCGAAATTATATTTTTGTTTCGTATGACAGCAACATTAATGCCTTGCGACATTAATGCAATTATAAAGATTAATTAATTTTTCCAAAATAAATGTAATTTAAATTTTAAGAATGACAGAACACCACGGACTCAATGTCGTCTGCTGTCTGACTGGCGCGAATTACTGCGCACTCACGTCATTCGAAACTAACACGAATTAAAAATCCATTGTGTACACACAGATAATGGCGCAGGCGCATTACTTTCCCTTGATTTTCTATAATTGCAGACTACGTAACACGAAACAGCTATAAAATTGTAGAACGTTGACAGTTACTAATTTTTTCATAATACAAAATATTAGGGAACACTATTTTTTTTGTAACTTTAAACATTTGGATTTGGAGTAAAACACTATTTTTTAAAACGTTTGTAGGAACATAAAAAATTATAAAAATTTGTTGGCATTATAAAGCATTTATTTATTCATATCATAATAATTTAACAACAATGTAGATGTACTTATATCCCCTCATTGCCTATCATAATAACTCTGTCTCTTAACAACATTTCTTAATTGTATTGTTCTACTGAAATACTTAATAATAATTTTTGGTTTGTAAGAATGCTTATGAACATTATAAATTACATAAATATTATTAATTCTCTGAATAGCTAATGAGAGTAGTATACAATAATTTCTCTGTTATAAATTTTTATTGTTTCTAAATACAAGGCATTTAAGATCACCTATAAGCATACCATTACTTTTTTAATACAATGTATACATGAATAAACTACTACAGATGTTATTCAACTATTTGTTTAATTATCATAAATATAATTAAATAGGATATAAATTATCTTTTGTATAATTTTAACAAAATAAATGGTATTAACCATTTAAGTACCAGCTTGTGTGTTGCATTCAAGATATTTAAAATAACAACTATAAATAATATTTAATTTGTAAAATGATATCAATAAAATATGATGTATAAGTACACAATACAGTATACAGAACTCAAGGAAAAATACACTGCACAAAATGGAATAATGAACATTTAATAATCTAAACCACTGTGCTCGAGAATTTTAACATTTAAAACACATGAGTAATTAAAACAATATAAATATATTTGGATCTTGGTTTGACTTTTTCAAGTCTATAAGACTTTTATGAAAATTTTCTATTATTTAATACTACAAGAATGCCTTTTTAATTTCTTGTCATGTCATAAGGAAAGTTGTTTTTTTCTTATAATTAAAATTGTCTCACTTATGTTGCAGTTAAACTGTGTTTAAATATGTATACTTTATGCAATTGATACATGATAAAGTTAATTGAAATTCTATATTCATAAAAAATGTTTAAAAAGATTTGTAATTTAAGAAAAATTATAAATTATTACTAGACTATGCGTTACATAAAATCTTTTAAAAATTTATTAAGTTGAATGGTAAGTTCGTTTTCGGCCTTGTACATACTTCAATATATATACATAACGATTTAAAATTTATTAAGAATTCATTCACATTATCAGGTTTGTTTTTCAGTTTTCTATAAACAAAGATCTTTTACATAAGTATGTAAATTGGTGAGTAATATCCGTTTTATGCTATCTATATGATTATATATAATTATATATAATAGTAATAAGTATATGGTTAAAACATGAATACAACATTTTAAAAATAAAAATTTCGCATTGGATAAATAGAATGAAGTACAATGGAAAAATTAACGAGGATTAATGTTGATGTACCAAAATAGTGTATATATCATTGATTAAAGAAGTTTCATACAAAGTTAATAGCATTTAAAATTCTTAGAAAGAAACACGAACAAACTATTTAACCCAACATATTATAGAATTCCATAATTTAAAAAAATAAATATATTTCCATAAATATATTACCAAAAAACAAAATGAAAATTAAATGTTATGTTGGAACACTTCTACTTTCACTACAAAAACGTACATACCTTCCACTCAATATAATATGAAAAATAATTTGAATACAATTTTAAAACTGCATACATAATCAGCATTATTATTTTGAGATAATTACACACATTTAACACAGTTATATTTAATTTGATCTATGTTTGAATTCATAAACAATGATTGCACCACTGTCCAGTTTATAGATGACAAAATATCAAATAACAACATAAGTGAGACGTCTACGTATAAAGGATCCTCCAAACTAGAACAAAATATTCGCATTTCTCTATTCTTAGCAGAAATTTGTTTGCGTTAGTACGAATAAATACTTAAACCACCATATATGTTACACTAATATAAATTTATCGCTGCGAAATATTTGCTGCTACTGTGAATACTTGACATTAGTTTGGGACATCTTTCAATATAGATACAGTATGATGAAAGGAACGTCATACCATAACAATAAAGGTAAATGTGTACTGAATATTCTTTGGTGATAAAAATAAATAATTGTCGAAGATGATTGAAGTAATAAATCAATTATGAAAAACATTTAAAAATAAAGATTTGAAATATCCTAATCTAAAAATACATTGTTAAATTTCAATAAGAAAATGATTACTATAACATTCCAAATGATCACAGAAAGTATAGTATATATACTACTTAATTATTCTATTAATCAATTCAATAACAATTGACAGTTACCCTTAATTATTGTAGTGAAGATCTTCAAACAGAACAAAAGTAGTGTCTAATAAACAAAATAATTTCATAATTGCAGATGCAACTATTAACAAAATATTTCTAAAATCATTGTGTAAGTAATAAATTGGGAAAAAGTAGTAGAACTTGTACAAATATACAAGAGTTCCCAATTCATTGAAATTGTAATATATACATAGTTCAAAGAATCCTATACACATTCTATAAACACCTTATTTAGGAAGATTAAATTCCATTATAGAAGTAAAATCCACTAAAAATGCTACCGGAGCATTAACTGTGGTATGCTGTGTTACAAGTATATAGACATTTCTTCAACTGACAATCATCTAAAGAATTAGATATATTTTGATTATCAGGTTGTGGTAGAGGCAACGCAAGAACCCACTGTAAAATCTTTATACTGAGAGAAAACACAAATCTGAAAAGTATTTAAAATGAGACAAGGGAATTCAGAACAAAAGTATTCAAACTAACCTTATCCTTTAATCGTTGACAAAGCTGCAGTGCTATGGTGAGCAATACTAGAGCATCATTTAACCAAGGTACACTGCATTCTGCTTGTTGAGTTTCATGCTTGACACTACCATGCGAATTCTCTAATTGATATACTGCCAGAACCAGCTTGTAGCTTTGTATATAGAAACTTATAGCCAAATTTTCAGGAAGATTTGGGTTTAAAGATTTCTGTGAATGTGTATAATGTTTAAAATTGATTCTTTTACTTTTATGTTCATTGAAGATCCAAGATATATCTTTTTACCATATTTCGACTTTTAATGAGATCATCAATTGTTTTTTTCCTAGGAACAATTAAACTTGTTCGGCTACGTTGAAGGCAACCCAATATATTTCCTAATACATGCATAACTTCATCTGACGTTTTGAAAGGATAATGACGATCAATATTGTCTATATGTGCAATAGCTTGCTGCAAGTGATTGGCAGCATCTTGTATTTGTTGCAACTTCCATGGATGCTCATTTTGTATGCTTGTTCTCATATTAACATTCTGTTGACGTTGAACTTTAAAGTTAACTTCCTGCAAAGATTTTTCTCTTAATCAATTGTGTAACTATAGACTAAGAATGTTGTCAATACTTACTGCATGTGTTATACTGTCACCAGTTAGAACAGCTACGCATTTTACTTGATCATGAGGAGCAGCAAATATAAATCTGTCGGTTTTATTATGTTGATCATTGCCAAATAAGGTCAATGGAAATCTTTGTGCACATTCCTATAATATAATACAAAAGGCAATAATATTTTTAACTTATTGTTAATATATTATTAATAAAAAGTATATATTCTTTTAATATATACCATTAAAATGTTCCTTAACTGTGACAATGAAGAATGAACTTCTTCATGAAGTACCCATTCAAACTCCATTTGCTGAAATAAATTTCACAATTAAATTTGTATTACTTCAGACTTTAATAGCATTTCTCACTCAATACATTTAAATATTTAACATTGTAAAAACATTTTTAACCGAAAGTTAATTTCATCTCACTGTTACGAAGTACATATAAGAAACATTCAAAATTTGTTTAAATCGAAACACCGGTACATAAAACTTATGACATAAGTGAAAAGATAATAAACAAAGTATGTAATAATGTACCGAAAATAACATAACCAACAAGAAACAGTTCGTCAAAACGAGCGGATGCAAGTTGAATAGTTAAACGATAGATAAGGTAGACTATCATCGTGTACCGCGAAATGACGAGGTCGCCTAAGTGATTAGATAAACGGTACGCAAAGACAAATAGCTTACGAGATTGTGAGCCTCCTCCTTCTCGCTGTCGGCCATTTTTTCCCCTCCGGCTACTGACTCCTCTTGCTTCGTTACTTGTATCTCCGTGTTCTATTTTAAATAACTTCTTTCCCCCAATTCTCGTGTTTTTTCTTAAACGTCACATTTGTTACTAGTTTCACACGCGAACTTGGTTATCATTCGGAGTCAAAAGATAAAATTCGTCATCTTTTTCGGTACAAATTTCTTCGATCTCGAATAGATAAATCGTTATCATTATAAGATCTTTTAATTACAATCTAAGATCTGTGCGGGTTAGTAATTTAATTCAGAGAACATAGACAAAATTGATCAAAGGTAAGGTAAATACCTTTACTTTTTACAAAGTTTAATAATTTTAGATTAAAAAAGAAAATAAATTAAAGACACGATACTTAGATTTCCAGTAAGAAAATCATTTGATTCATACAATTATCCTAAAATCGAATTACACATTATCATTTTACGTAATATATACCTAATATTAAATTAAACCAGGTCGCTTTCAGAGACAGGTATTAGATTTACCTATTGTGAGCACATTGCAATTTTCAAATTCATGTTGATATTGAATATTGTCTTCTTATAACTAAGGCGTAAATAATATTAATCAAATCAATTTACGGAATAATTAAATAAATGAGAACTTCGATTACTTCAAGGATACACAGAATTGCTATAGTCATACTATAGAGAGAGGGAAGACTGCCCCTGAAAGCAAGCAACCTTTTCATTTACGACAAGAAAGCTTAGCTGTTGCGGATAATTAAGAAAACGTTAATTTCACAATTAAGTATTTAATACTTTACTGAAAATGACTTTGAAATTGTATTATGATTTATTGTCGCAACCAAGTAGAGCTGTGTATATATTTTTAAAAGTATGCAATATACCGTTCGAGAAGAAATTAATAAATCTTGGAAAAATAGAACATCATACTCCAGAGTTTAAGAAAATTAGTCCATTTCAAAAAGTTCCTAGCATTCAACATAATGATTTTAACATGATCGAAAGGTATAATTTACGTGTAAAATATGTATATGAAACTAAAAAGAAATTGAAAAGGAATATTTTTATAGCATTGCAATTTTGAGATATCTCTGTAGAGAATTTACTGTGCCAGACCATTGGTATCCCAAAGATTCAAAAGCTCAGGCAAAAGTTGATGAATATCTTGAATGGCAACACATGAATACCAGATTGAATTGCGCCTTATATTTTCGGCAAAAGGTACAAAAATCTATTTTAGTTCATTTATGTAAAGCTTTATGAAACTTTTATTTATAAATTATTTATACATTATTTATACAATCTCTTTTCCTGTAGTACTTAATGCCAATTATAACAGGTAAACCAACAGTACCTGAACAAATAGCAAAGTATGAAAAACAGATGGTCAATTGTCTTGATCTATTAGAAAATGTGTGGTTAAAACAAAATCTTTTCTTGATTGGTTCCGAAATTAGTATAGCTGATCTTCTTGGAACATGCGAAGTAGAGCAAGTTCGTGAGTAATTGTGTAATCTTAATAGTCACTGTTAAATATCATAAGACTTATCAATGACTTATATAATCATTCATAAATTTTTTAACATTACTAATGATGAAACATAAAACAGTTACATTTGGTAAGATAAGTGCACAAAGATCTATAACGTAATTTATATAAATAATTTTATAAATATTTATATATTATACATATATTTATAATAATAAATGTTTTCATCTCCAATGAATACTCGTGTGTCATGAACAAAATATACAGAGATGTCCTGCATATAACATGTTAAACGCTTTTCTTACTAAGGTATGTAAACTAACATTTAATGAAAAATTTATTTTTAAATGTAGGAATTGCTGGATATGATCCTCGTAATGGAAGACCTCGCTTAGCTAGCTGGATGACAAAGGTTGCAGAAATTACACACCCCTACTATGAAGAAGCTCATATTTTTTTGAATAAGCTTGCAAACAAGGCAAAAGAAAACTCATTAAAGAGCAAGATTTAAAAGTTTTCTAAACTTTCTATTTCGTATCGCATTAGTGATACAAATTTTAAGTAATAGTATAAACAGTTTTAACACTTCAACAGCTGCTGTCACATATCCGTAATAATACCCCTTATAATGAGAAGAAAAAGTTGTTACACAATTTAAATGATGGTTTCAACATTTACTTTAATGAATGTCTTAGTTAATCTATGAACGATTACGAAAAGCATCAATGACAAATAGTAAGATTTACACATTTGTTGAGCCAACAAATAAAAATACTTACATTAAATGGGTGATGATTAAAATGTTAATTTGTCAAGAAAGCATAAAACATGATATACTTAAGACACAACTGAATCTAAGGTGATATAAAACTTTATTTTTACAGACATATTTACTTAATACTTTGTAATATCTTTATTATAAAATTTATACTTTTTACTGTATAAATATATTTGTCTTGTAAAGAATAATTAAATTCTGATTATTTGTTTCCTTTAATAATAATTTTTAATTTGCTATATCACTATATTATATTTTGTTTGTTGTGCAGTATTGGGTGGTGTGGTTGTTGGATGAATATGAACAGGCAAGTCCCAAATCATAGTTTCAACATCTAAAGTTAATGGTCCTTGCCAATTAATTGTATTGTCATTGGGTGTATCTATTAGTTTAGAAGTTGTAACAAACTCAAAATGTAATCTCCATTTCAGTGTCATTAAATCAGTGGTAAAATCAGGGGTTACATGTAAAGGTATAGGTAACACTAAATGGGAATATTTTAGACCCATGCACATTTCGTGATGTTTGTTATAACTAACTAATGTTGGAACTGCAGTTTTCCCTCGTCTGTACTCTTCTGAAATATGTTCCTCTGATTGTAATGCAACTGAGACTTGAGCACATGAAACTGTAGCATTTGAAAAATCAAATGTTCCAACTATATCCTCTCCAAGTTTGTAAGAGTTTTTGAAGAGACAGAATCTTACAACTCGTCCACGACCATTTGTAATGTTGTAAAAATTTGGGCTACGTCTAGCAGTCAAATTCTGTATACATGCATAGAAAGAAACATTATTAATCTTATACTTGTGATATACTGTCTAATTCCTTATCTAAAACAAACCTGCAATGTTTGTAATGCAACATCTAATGGAGTTTCCCTGTGTTGTGTTTCCATGAATGGATTATTTGGACTTAAGTCAACACTATCATTGCAGGCAGTTACTTCAGGTAGTTCTGTTAAAATTATAATATTAACTTTATACTAAGAATATACAATATTAATTATAAAAGTCACAGAAATATTACCACTTAATGAGAGTACTCTGAATGGAATTCGAAGTAATTTTATAGCTGTATTAACTCGTTGTGTTCCAACGGTAATTTTATATGAATATTTTACTGCATGTCCTCTGTAAGAGGGAGGTGCATCACTTGGAATTATTTCTCGATATATATCTGTAAAACTGAAATCTATCATTTCTGTATCCTATATAAGGTATTTCACAAGTAAATAACTACTTATATGATGACCAATACAAAAAAATTATGTCAAAATAATCCAAGATGATTTTACAGTTCAAACAAAGTGAAAAAAATTTGCTCTATCATTGTAAGTTTCTAAAGTTAATATTACAATCAGTAGTGAATATTAAATTATTTCATTTTTAACT